ATCATCAGGTCCATGATTAAATATATTCACCAACCTCAGATTAATTTAGTGTTTTAGTCTCTTGGGTTTCAATTGAAAGTGAACCACCAGGCAAATGAGTTTAGTACAGTAGTGTGATTCTCGTTAATTTGTTTTAAGAATAACGTAACTGCCATTAAGATTATAGTTTGTTCTTAGGATACCTTTTACCCCAGGTTAGTCAGTTCCAGATATCCTACACTTAAATAAGATTATCAGACAGGATCTAAAATAACTAGAATCCTGTTGATTTCCTTACTGTATTAGTTCCTTAAAAATGTGCTATTTCCATAGTAGATGTTGTTTTCATTTCCACATAAGTATCCATGTGATACAAAGCAATGTCAGAGCACTTGCATTTATGGTTAAATAATATGATCTAGATCCCATCACCCTTGATTTGCTATCTGAGGCTGGTATCCCTGCTTCGGAAGGATCGTCCACAGTGCTTCTCAGTTGACAGAGTCAAAGGCTTTCATGAGGTCTAAGAAGGCCATGTAGAGAAGTTTATGTTCCTGGCATTTTTCCTGCAGCTGGTGAGCTAGGAAGATCATGTCAGTTGTGCCTCTCGATGCCCTGAACCCACACTGAAATTCCAGGAGGACCTCCTCAATAAGGAGATGGTTCAGGAAGATTCTTGCAATGATCTTTCCTGTGGTAGAAAGAAAGGTGATCCCTTTGCAATTTCCAGTCAGACTTGTCTCTTTTCTTAAAGATTTTCACAGTCATGGCGTGCCTGAGGTCATCTCGGATTTCCTCATCTTTCTAAATCCTTAAGATGAGGGCATGGAGCTGTAATGTGAGGTCCTCTCCCTCCTGCTTGAAGATTTTGGTGGGGATTCCATCAGTTCCAGATGCCTTGTCATTCTTCATCTGTTTGATGGCTTTCCTCACTTTATCAGGGTTTGGAAGGATTGCGAGATTGTCTCTGACTAGGTGTTGCAGGATGGAGTTGAGAACATGCTTGTCAACAACAGAGCCTCAACTGAGAAGGTCTTCAAACTCCTCCTTCTAACGGTGATGGGTTCCCCCTTCCTTAATCAGGTCTCTTCCATCCTTAGGTCTCAAAGGGGTTGGTCCCTGAGTGCTCAGACAATGGATGGTTTTAGTGGCATTGAAAAAAAACCATGCATATTATGAATGTCTACTGATGGTGTCTGAACTATAATATTTAAGTGTTTCTGAAATGGGGTGCTACTCAGTTCACAAAAGTCATGGAGTAGTGTCTCAAGTCCAAAAAGGTTGAGAACCACCTGTATAGTCTTACCCTTTTCTGTTTTCTGTACTACTGGCATGCTACTGGTTTAAACACAGTTTGGCAGTGTAATGTAGACCGAACAATTATTCTCAACCATGTATTTTAAAATATTTGTGTGTTCTAGGTTATGTTCTTAGGCTTGGAAACTCATTTAGCTTCTCTCTGGGTTAGGATGAGAAATGGGCAGCAGTGAATGGGAGTCTGTAGTGCAACTGGTGTCTACATCTTTGCTTATACTATTATCCACTATTTATGTCCTTTACAAAGATTCAATAAGGGGCTCCAAGGTTGTTCTCTCTTTGGAGCAGGAACTGATTATAGACAGGGAGATAGAGGTCACAAGAAGGGAAGCAACAATAAGCAATTTCTATGCAAGTACCATCTTCTGCCTGAAGTGCTGACTTCAGTCTGCAGCACTGTCAGTTCAGCAGATAATATATCCATTTAACACTTTAAACTTTGTCATCTAAAGTTTTGGGTTTAATATTTTACTGGCAGCTTTACAAAAATAGGAAGATGCAACAAAAGATAGAATAAACTCAAACTTCTGTTCTGAAAGTTTATAACAAAGAGCTAGTATATTATCCTGGATCTAATATTTTTATTAAATGCATTAAGCTATTTTCTTTCTTTGATGCTACGAAGCTGTGTGGCAGTTTTAGAAGGGTAGAGTTTGGGGAGTGCTCATGGAAGAGACTTAAGAGGAACAAATAGATGCTTAGGATTGGCTCATGGCAGTGGAGTCTTGTTTGCATTGCCCCAGTTGCAGAGTTGAGGTCTTAAAATTTAAAAGAAGTAGCATATGTATATATACATCTATAGATAGACCAGAAATTGCAGTAAAAAAATGATCGTGCATTATCATAAAGGGTGTGATTATTTAAAGGTTTATGTAAAAAAAAATATGATAAATTGTTTTCTGTGTCTAGTGGGGATAGAGTGAGAAGTATTTCAGTTTAAATTGCAAAAAGGGAGATTTAGGTTGGACTTTAGGGAAATCTTTCTAAATCCAAGGGTAGATAAGCACTGGAATAGGTTACTTATGGAGATTGTAGAATCTCTATCAAGAGAGGTTTTTAAGAGCAGGTTAAGCAGTTGTCAAGAAGGATTTATTTATAGTTGATCCTGGCATGGGGTAGGATGGACTTGTTGAGTGTTCAAGGTCCTTTCCATCTCTCTTTTCTGTTTTTCAGCAAATTATAGTTTTAAAGAGTTAGTAAATTAGTTGATTCTTTAATGAACTTTCTATAAAAACTGTTTATGGGTTGCTTATACCCATTTTATAAGCAATTCTCCCACTGTACTCGGCCTTAGTGAGGCCGCAGCTGGAGTACTGTGTCCAGTTTTGGGCTCCACAATTCAAAAAGGATGTGGAGAAGCTTGAGAGAGTCCAGAGAAGAGCCACGCGCATGATCAGAGGTCAGGGAAGCAGACCCTACGATGACAGGCTGAGAGCCCTGGGGCTCTTTAGCCTGAAAAAGCGCAGGCTCAGGGGTGATCTGATGGCCACCTACAAGTTTATCAGGGGTGACCACCAGCATCTGGGGGAATGTTTGTTCACCAGAGCGCCCCAAGGGATGACGAGGTCGAATGGTCACAAACTACTTCAAGATCATTTCAGGCTGGACATAAGGAAGAACTTCTTTACTGTCTGAGCCCCCAAGGTCTGGAACAGCCTGCCACCGGAGGTGGTTCAAGCGCCTTCATTGAACACCTTCAAGATGAAACTGGATGCTTATCTTGCTGGGATCCTATGACCCCAGCTGACTTCCTGCCCTTTGGGCGGGGGGCTGGACTCGATGATCTTCCAAGGTCCCTTCCAGCCCTGATGTCTATGAAATCTATGAAATTTTAATGTCTTATACTGATGTGCTTATAACCAGTTATAACACAAACTACTCACAGCTGTAGCAGATTTTGGTATCTGTTAATCTAAGGATACATTTATAATGGGTTATAAAAAGTTTGGCAGAATTTAAAATAGAGTGTAATTGCTTTTTATTTAATTTATTTGTGTTTGTGAATCATTTGGGATGGGGAGGCAAGGAGGCATTACAAAGATAGCTGTGACTTGGATTTAATTAAAATGGATGTTTGACTTACATAGACATTGTACCAATACCTTTTTTTTTTAAGTCACCGTAGTTTATAGATTGGAAAAAAAATGTCATCACAAAGAAAAAAATGAAAATTGATTTACAGGGTAGTTCAGGCTGATGTTAGCACAGAACTAATAACAATACTGAGCTTTCACAAAGGCTGTAAACAGACATTGTGTTTCGCTTTTTGCCCATGGATCCTACAGACTGCCATTGTCCTGCTTCAAGTACCTGTGAATTATGCAGGATAATGTGCTAACGGTTTTCTTGGGACAATGAAGTAAGTAGCAGCTGGAAGCTAATTGTGGCTCATTTAACTTAACTGAGATTAATTCCAGGGACCAGCCTGTCAGGATTTGTGATTTTAACATCTGATGAAGTAAGCTGCTGCTTATCAAAGTTTATGCATCTCTGAGTGAGTTAGTCTATAAGGTTAAAAACAGGTGACCAAATTGCCCAGGACTGAGCCTTTGATTTTGGGATCCTACAGA